TTAACCCGTGAAATCACTTATGCAAATGCACTTTTATTCTAGTGGAGATAATGCCATCCAACCATAGAATGAATAAGAAAGGGATTTGAAAGTCAACCAACCATACAAACTCAAAAGGATAAAGTTCATATATAGATTATATACCCATCCATTAGAGTTTTCTTCTTTCTAAAACACAATATATTAGAGTATCTTTAATGATACTCTTTATTTTATAGGACATATTTCACATAAATAAAGAGTATCTTCATTAATTTCTAAATATAAAGAATAAAATTTGTATTTAAATCTCTTTAAATTAGACTTATTAAATAAGAGAAAGACTTAATAGAAAAGAGAATTGATAATAAAATGCATATAAACTTATAATTTATTAAATAAAATAGGGATAGAGAGTGAAATTTGATTCTTTAGATGTAGAGAGTCAAACTCACTCTTTAATTTATATTTAAAGAATAAAGAGTCAATTGGACAAACTCTTTATTATAAAGAGTTTGAATCATATAAAAAGTCATATATATGTATAGTAAAACATTTATATAGTCATAATGGTGGGATAAACTAATTTTATTACTATAAGGAGATTATAACTTAATGGAAGGGTAGTTACAAAAATTATTGTTTTGATTTCTTATTTTATAATTCATGTTTTAGTATTACAATATTAGGATTTCAATTCATGTTTTAGCAGTATTAGGATTTCAATTTAGCGCTTTAATTGTCTACTTTTGAAATGGATAGAAGATCGTATCTTGGAACTAGCAAAAATAAGTGTCATTGATGGAACTGTAAATGTAGTTGATGCATGGTCAATTGATGTGAAGCCACAAACAATTGTCAAATAGTTTTAAGCACTGCAAAATTAGAACCTCCGATGTTGATGAATTGCAAGTTACAAATGAAGTGGATGAGGAGAATAAAAGAGTCTTTGCAGAATTGAGTGCTCAAATTCGACAATTTCATTGCACTAATCGAATGGATATTAATGTATTTTTCGATCATTCAAATAAGCAACAAATCATATATTTTTTAACTAAAGAAGAAATCATTGCTGCAATTTAATAAGAAGAGAAATGAAATAATATTGAGGATGATAGTATGAAAATACAAAAAGTTTCACGCTATGAAGCTCTACACATGTTTGAGAAGCTAAAAATATTTTGGCTTTAATAAGAAGGTATCCATACTAACGAGTTATTACGTACTCACAAATTAAAAGATGTGATAACAACTTTAAAACATAAATCATTATCTCAGAAAACTTTAGATAAATATTTTATTTCATTTTAAAACTTTAATGTAACATAAAATATATATTTTTGTAATATATATATTGCTATGTGAGACTACTTTTTTTAAGGTGGAAATTAAAAAAAATTATAATTTATTATAATATAGAATTTCATACTTTTATTCTATAGAACTATTCACTATATATATATATATATATATATATAATATATATATATATATATATATATATATATATATATATATATATATATATATATATATTGCTATGTGAGACTATTTTTTTAAGGTAAAATTAAAAGAATTATAATTTATTAAATATAGAGTTTATTCTTATTTATAACTATTTCACAATTAGAACTAAATTTTATGAATATATAGAATATAAAGTATTATTTAGACACACTTGCTTCAATTTCATCATCATCGTAAACAAACAACCAGAGCTTACTTTTTTATGTTTTCTAATTCTTAAATTCAGAAAACCCAAGAAGACGGTTTCTACATCCACACATCTAACAATAAGGACGTACACAACACACACAAGAAATTCCTGACATGTCCCTAAGTGTAATTTATTGACAATTGGCCTTATCTATCAGGATTTGCAGATTTCAAGTTTCAACGACATAATTATTTTGATGGCGAGAGAGAGAGAGAAGAGAGTTTTTCCCTATACATATATTGGTTCTACAAATGTGTCCAACACTTTTGGCCAAGGTTGAAGACATGAGCTGCTTTTTTATGAATAAATTAGAAAGATCACTGAAAAAGAGAAAAAAAACTCCAAACTAACTGACTGAACCCAATGTAATTCATCAATGTCATCATCTATGGCAATCTATATACATATGAGATTTACTGAACAAAGACCACAATCGAAAAGGGGGAAAAGTAGAGGGCGATAGTCACTGTGTCCCAGATGGAGGGAAATTTGTCATTGTCACAGCTAGCTCTCATTATTTGTCGTCTGCGAAAAGCTATCTTCAGTATTCAAAACAAGGAGAACTTTAAGTGGAGAACCCTTGTTGAGTTGATCAATTCGAGACTTTATGCACAAATCTGTTTTTCTTTCTTTTGGGATTCCTTTTGTAATTCCGAAAAGTAAAAATCAACAATGTAGAATATATATCAGGTCTTTTTTAATCCTCAAAAGATAAGAGTTTTCAATTTTTGAAATTGGTAAGTTTGAAGGTCGAGAGAGAGAGAGAGAGAGAGAGAGAGAGAGAGAGAGAGAGAGAGAGATCTTAACTCTTAATGAGCTTACACCAAACAAGGGGAAAGGAATTTATGACATTTTCCTCTTTCCATCCTAACACTGTATAGTTACATTCTTTGAACAGGCCAGTTGCATAAACTCCAGAAACAAAAGATGAACAGAGAGACATGAGTTCTACAGCCCTTCAAAGAAAAACCAAAAGGGCAAAAAACTTTTTGGAAACATAAATTAAAAACAAAAATTATTACAATCACAGTCAAAGAAGCCCACATTCACATTAATTTACAAAACACAACCGTTTAAGAACTCCACAACAAACCTTCTCCAAAGCTGTTTGAAAAAACACTACTATCTGGCAGTTCAAACTGATCACACAAATACCCACCGCAATCCTCCACACTTTGTAACCAAGGCGGTGCGTACATCCAACCATCTACCGGGTCAACATACACAAACTCATCCCTCAACTCGGCCGAATCATAATTATAACTCGTTCCTAAACTCGGCAATTCGACTATCTCACTCAACTCATCTGACCCAGTTGACAAATCCATAGCTGAAACCAAAGAAGACAATGAAGATGATGATGATGATACTGATGCTGAGTCAAATTTGTCCATTTGAGCCGCTTTAGCCGCTGCGGCTTGTACGTCACGTGGTGCGAGTGAGACAGGTCGAGGCAGTGAGTCAACAAGTTCAGGGAAGTTGAGAATTGCTGAGTTACCTTTGATGCTGAAGGCAGCCACGTCATGAGCTCGTGCGGCCATTTCAGGGGTAGGGAAAGTACCGAGCCAAATACGAGACTTTTTGCGTGGCTCTCGGATTTCGGAGACCCACTTGCCCCAGTTTCTCATGCGAACGCCACGATATACGGGGTGCTTGCTTGAGTCTCTGATTCTTTTCATCTTTTTGGAGTCTTGGTTGTTGGTGGTAGTGTTGTTTTGGGTGTTAGGTTTGGGGTTTTGGATTGAGCCTTGTGAAGTAGATGATGAGGGCGATGAGTTCGAGCTGCTCTCGGTTTCCGATAAGTGTTGTGGTTCACTCATTTTCTTCCTTTTTTATGATTCTGATGATAAAACTTTGGTACTAATTTAGAATAATAATAGAGGTAGTATTGGCTAGAAGTAGCAGTGAATAGTGATGAGGTTACAAGAGGGTGTTCATTTGGATTTTCGTTTTAGAGGAGAAAAATAAGGAAAGCTTGGAACTTGGAACTTTGTTGTCCGAAAACAAAATAGAGAAAGTATAAATATAGGCGAAGTAAGTAATTAGTTTTGAAGAGAGAAATAGCAAGAAAGGAGTTTAATTGGGAGGTTAAGAGGGGTAGTTGTTTGGAATCAAAATGGAGAATGAGAGTTAGCAGAAGGAAAGGGAAGATGAAGATGGGAGGAGGGGCATGCAGCAGATGCTTTGAAAGATAGATATATAATTAGAAGAATGAAGAAAAGAGACGTAAAAATAGTTATTTTCCCCATCATTTCCCAATGAATCATACAACACTTATAAAGCATATAAGAGTAAGAGATAAAATTATAAAAGATAGAAGGATAGGACCCCACAAGGGAAATGGGTCACACTACTTTACCCTCTGGTTCAAGGGGGTCCCCCTTCTCTAGTACCGCGCAACTCCCATTAATATCCCAACTTTCCTCTGCATCTCTTTTACCTTTTTTACTGTTCATTTATCTACAACCCAAAATAACCACACCCGACCGACCCCCCCCCCCCCCCCCCCCCCCCCCCCCCCCCCCCCCCTCCAATTTTTCCCAAAAGCCATTGGTAGGAGTAGGGGCAATATTAATTTAATATTAGATATTTTCTTATGCTTATAAGATTACCTCTCAAACAACTTCATATTTGGCCCCAATATTCATTAATTAACTCACTTTCATGTAAATATGTTTGCATTTATACATAATATGGGGTAGAAATTTAGCTATAGATTGGGTTTATAGAGCCTTCCTGACCCTGAAATATGGATCCTGCATTAGGGTTCTTATTGTTTTGCTGGATACTTTTGAGGTACAAAGCTATAGTGTCCCAATGTGACCTTGTTGATGATTAAACTTGGGGCCAGTATAGATTTGGTCCCAACTTGGAGCTAGCTGAACCACTGCAAAAGATATTTCATCAATGGGTCCAATCCATCTATCACCTATGTATAGTGAGATTTATGAATATATTTTTAATCTTTATTTATCTTCTATATAATTTTTTTTTCTTTGTCTTTTTGTTTGAGTCACCTCACAGCTTTTAAATAAATTAATATTAGATGTGTATTCTTTTTCCCCTTTTCTAATGCTCTCTTTTGTTTTGTTTCACCATGGTCGATTTGAAATGCTGATATTTATACGTGAGAAGGTGGTTGAAGAGAAGTTCAAGTCAAGATTGACAGACAGACACAGACTTTCTTTAAGTTAATTAAAATCATTAGGAGTGAGAAGCATCGAAACTAAGTTGGATTTGCAAACAAAAGGTGATCTGAATTTTCGTTTAAANGTTGAGAGAGAGAGAGAGAGAGAGAGAGATCTTAACTCTTAATGAGCTTACACCAAACAAGGGGAAAGGAATTTATGACATTTTCCTCTTTCCATCCTAACACTGTATAGTTACATTCTTTGAACAGGCCAGTTGCATAAACTCCAGAAACAAAAGATGAACAGAGAGACATGAGTTCTACAGCCCTTCAAAGAAAAACCAAAAGGGCAAAAAACTTTTTGGAAACATAAATTAAAAACAAAAATTATTACAATCACAGTCAAAGAAGCCCACATTCACATTAATTTACAAAACACAACCGTTTAAGAACTCCACAACAAACCTTCTCCAAAGCTGTTTGAAAAAACACTACTATCTGGCAGTTCAAACTGATCACACAAATACCCACCGCAATCCTCCACACTTTGTAACCAAGGCGGTGCGTACATCCAACCATCTACCGGGTCAACATACACAAACTCATCCCTCAACTCGGCCGAATCATAATTATAACTCGTTCCTAAACTCGGCAATTCGACTATCTCACTCAACTCATCTGACCCAGTTGACAAATCCATAGCTGAAACCAAAGAAGACAATGAAGATGATGATGATGATACTGATGCTGAGTCAAATTTGTCCATTTGAGCCGCTTTAGCCGCTGCGGCTTGTACGTCACGTGGTGCGAGTGAGACAGGTCGAGGCAGTGAGTCAACAAGTTCAGGGAAGTTGAGAATTGCTGAGTTACCTTTGATGCTGAAGGCAGCCACGTCATGAGCTCGTGCGGCCATTTCAGGGGTAGGGAAAGTACCGAGCCAAATACGAGACTTTTTGCGTGGCTCTCGGATTTCGGAGACCCACTTGCCCCAGTTTCTCATGCGAACGCCACGATATACGGGGTGCTTGCTTGAGTCTCTGATTCTTTTCATCTTTTTGGAGTCTTGGTTGTTGGTGGTAGTGTTGTTTTGGGTGTTAGGTTTGGGGTTTTGGATTGAGCCTTGTGAAGTAGATGATGAGGGCGATGAGTTCGAGCTGCTCTCGGTTTCCGATAAGTGTTGTGGTTCACTCATTTTCTTCCTTTTTTATGATTCTGATGATAAAACTTTGGTACTAATTTAGAATAATAATAGAGGTAGTATTGGCTAGAAGTAGCAGTGAATAGTGATGAGGTTACAAGAGGGTGTTCATTTGGATTTTCGTTTTAGAGGAGAAAAATAAGGAAAGCTTGGAACTTGGAACTTTGTTGTCCGAAAACAAAATAGAGAAAGTATAAATATAGGCGAAGTAAGTAATTAGTTTTGAAGAGAGAAATAGCAAGAAAGGAGTTTAATTGGGAGGTTAAGAGGGGTAGTTGTTTGGAATCAAAATGGAGAATGAGAGTTAGCAGAAGGAAAGGGAAGATGAAGATGGGAGGAGGGGCATGCAGCAGATGCTTTGAAAGATAGATATATAATTAGAAGAATGAAGAAAAGAGACGTAAAAATAGTTATTTTCCCCATCATTTCCCAATGAATCATACAACACTTATAAAGCATATAAGAGTAAGAGATAAAATTATAAAAGATAGAAGGATAGGACCCCACAAGGGAAATGGGTCACACTACTTTACCCTCTGGTTCAAGGGGGTCCCCCTTCTCTAGTACCGCGCAACTCCCATTAATATCCCAACTTTCCTCTGCATCTCTTTTACCTTTTTTACTGTTCATTTATCTACAACCCAAAATAACCACACCCGACCGACCCCCCCCCCCCCCCCCCCCCCCCCCCCCCCCCCCCCCCTCCAATTTTTCCCAAAAGCCATTGGTAGGAGTAGGGGCAATATTAATTTAATATTAGATATTTTCTTATGCTTATAAGATTACCTCTCAAACAACTTCATATTTGGCCCCAATATTCATTAATTAACTCACTTTCATGTAAATATGTTTGCATTTATACATAATATGGGGTAGAAATTTAGCTATAGATTGGGTTTATAGAGCCTTCCTGACCCTGAAATATGGATCCTGCATTAGGGTTCTTATTGTTTTGCTGGATACTTTTGAGGTACAAAGCTATAGTGTCCCAATGTGACCTTGTTGATGATTAAACTTGGGGCCAGTATAGATTTGGTCCCAACTTGGAGCTAGCTGAACCACTGCAAAAGATATTTCATCAATGGGTCCAATCCATCTATCACCTATGTATAGTGAGATTTATGAATATATTTTTAATCTTTATTTATCTTCTATATAATTTTTTTTTCTTTGTCTTTTTGTTTGAGTCACCTCACAGCTTTTAAATAAATTAATATTAGATGTGTATTCTTTTTCCCCTTTTCTAATGCTCTCTTTTGTTTTGTTTCACCATGGTCGATTTGAAATGCTGATATTTATACGTGAGAAGGTGGTTGAAGAGAAGTTCAAGTCAAGATTGACAGACAGACACAGACTTTCTTTAAGTTAATTAAAATCATTAGGAGTGAGAAGCATCGAAACTAAGTTGGATTTGCAAACAAAAGGTGATCTGAATTTTCGTTTAAATGCATGTAAATATTGTTACTTAACTGGTAACGATGGTTTATAAATATATTATAAGAAATCTTAAGACTGAAGGAGGTCTTTTTCAGGAGCAGAAAATGGTAATTAGTTTAAAGATGTAATTTAAGGTACGTACGTAACATGAAGAAAAAAGAAAACGAAGTTTACGGTGAAGTTATCGGGAAAAAAAAGGTTGCTGTAATTGTAAAACTATTGACTCTATTACATAGATAATTTATCCATGGTCAGTATTGATCAGAAAAAGGTTAGAGCTTAGAACAGAAAGAAAGCACTTGGTAATTACCGCCAAAACCAAAAATAAGAGGACGGTGGTTTCTGGCTTTACTGACTCTAGCGTTGTTAACCAGACAAGTGACAACCTGATTAGACACATTTTCAAGCAAATGAAAACCTTAATCCATGGTAATTATTTAAAATTAAATACCGCAAATAAAAAAATATTTGCAGAAAAAATCAAACAAAGAGATGTTTCTTGATTTGCTGGGGTCTGGAAGAGTGATTGTCCAATTCATGGATGGTTTGGTAGCAGTTGCTGTGGCATTGATCTTCGACTCTCATAAACCGCCAAAGAAGAGCCACGCCTCATTCATTTGGGGTCCCAATCCAATTACAAACGTGTCGCACCTCATGGAACAACATTGGCTCGAAATGTATGTGCAGATTTTAATTTTCAATTAATTGACTAACCCCACATGTTAAAAAATGACTAGTCCTCAACCTCAAGGGGCCCTTTTCCAAAGCTCTCGCTCGTAGTATCAGTTTCATTACGGCCAAAACTTAATTAACAATGCAACGTCCTACCTACATTAATTTTACATGAAGATTTTGTATGACTGAAATTTATCCTAGTTGAATCCTCATTTCTCTTGTTTGACCAGCTACGTACTATTAGAACTTTCTGTTGACAATGGTGGCCCTGCAAAGCAGTTTTATTGGAATGAACAAAATGTACTTCATTCATTCACTCTATTTTTAAGCTGAGAACACCTTAATTTTAATGCGTACGATTGTACATGTATAAATCTTTTGATCAACATAGTTTCACTATGACAGTACGTAATTAAGATTCTATATGTTACGGTCTTTGAATTTAAACTTCATTCTGAAAATGATTGAAGAAATTATTAGTTATTACAGGAATCACTGTACAGGTGACAAGTATTAATTCTTGAATTCTTACGTACATATAAACAAGTCGGCTTCCAGACTGGTGTGTCAATTCAGATTAATGAAGTAAATATTAATAAGTTGAGATATCTCACATAACACATGAATTAATTATTCGACATGGTGAGGTACTTGCAGAAGAAGATAAAATTGTACCTATAGAAATGAGCTGTTTCTGGCATGAAGTGTGGACACATTATGAATACTACTGTTGCTGCAAAAATAATTATTAATTGGTATGCTTTTCATTTGCATTCTTATGATTTGGAATTTGAATTGATAACTCGTTTTATTTGAGGGAAACGTTATTGCATGCCACCAAGCCTATCGCCCACCATCATCTCTCTAGACTCTACTTTGGTGCCCAGTATCAATCCAAATCCAACATTCACTCATCTTTCGTTATAGTCAATTAAAGATCATAAGACCCCCAATCACAATTACTTGTACAGTTTTTTTTTTTTTTTTTTTTTAATAACAGTGGTATTCAGACTAATTTATGCGTATTTCGACTAATCCTTAGAAGGGTTATCTCACTGCAATATATTGTTATGACATCTAACGTAAATTATGAGCAAAAATAATATTTTTGCGTCCAATGGGAAATTAGAACCTGGGATTGTAGATTCTATCCATTGTAGTCCCCTTGGTTAGCCCTTACCGTTGGGCTACCCATGGGTGGGTATAATGTTTTTATTTTAACAACCAATAATTCTAATTATATATGTGGTTAAGATATATTTATATTATATTTTTTATTAATCATCTATCGCAATTTTGTATTTTTACACGGATAGATGATTATTGTGTAACTTTACCCAAATTGGGATATTAAGATGTATATAAATATTTTTGTGGATTCTAGGTTTTAGGGTTAAGAGTTATATTGTTAATTTTTTATTTAATAGATCAGGATTGAGAAAATTGATAATTAAGGTTCAGTTTTTATCTTGATTTAATGAAGCAATCGTGATTATTTTTCCTTAATTGAATCTCATCATTGGTCTCACCAAAATGGCAAAATCATAGAATAAACATTTGTCTTAGGTTCAAAGTTCTCATTCATACTTTTTTTTTTTTTTATTGAAAAGGTGTTTGTCAAATATTTTTAAAATCAATATTTGGTTAATATTCGATTGTTGAAAAGTAGTACTTATTAAAAAAATATTGGATTCTTCTTGAAATTCTATGAAAAAAAAAAAAAGTATTTTATTTAATTTAGTTAACTAACTACACACTAATTACAAAATAATTAAACAAAATTTTTTGTAGGTAAAAACCACTCCCTTCTACATTGTAGGACAACCTTAGAGTGAAGGAGAAATTTATTTAGTATTAAAGACATGAAAAGCAAATGCAGAAAAAAGAGCACCAAATTTAAAATGTTCCTATAATTAATATATATATATATTGTTGGATCGTTATATATAAAATATTATTTCAGTTTAATGAGTAAATCCAACAATATTTAAGCACGGTTTTAATTATATAATTATATTAAGACAGTTTTGACTAATAATTAACTAGAGAATTCTGGTGTGTGTGTGTATATATATCAGCTGGAGAGTAACGGGACTGCTGGGTTTTGTGGACCTAAATGTCACCTACATTTAATCTACAAAGTAATACACCTAACAGAGACAAATTCTAATTAATTCCACTTCCAGAGATCGTTTATTTTTATAGCATGTAATAAATTGGGTATATGTACGGAGGCTTAAGTGACCAAAATTTACTATAATCCTAAAATAAGGTTGTTCCAATGACTAGAGCTAGCACCCAAAGGCAAAAAACCGAAATAAAATTTTGAATCACTCAACCTGGGGCGTACGTCTAGGCTGGTTACTTACTTGAGGTAATCATGGTGAATTCTGGTTCTGGGTATTGACATGGGGTTTTCTGACACTCAATAAAGAGTGCAGTAAAGTTAATTTTAATATGACACGATGACGCAGTGGTCTGCCTGTCATTAGTTATTTACCACTTCTGCAGTTGATAATGTACCAGAGTCATTAATTTCTCCTAGAAGATTGCTTTTTAGGTACATATAATACTGTATTTATCAGTCACATGCATGGGGGAACCTTTGAAATACTTTACTCAAATTTTCCAGAACTGAAAGGAGTACAATTCTTAGGGAATCAGTTAGATCATTTTCATTTATTTAATCATTATTATTCTTTTTTTTTTTTTTTTTGTTCGTACACTTACAAAATCTTTCCAGATGTTTTTGATGAATAACACACAAAGTTTTTTACGGAATCAAAGGCAACATCCTGAGAATAAGTATAGTATATGTTTATTAATTTTTGGAAGCTGGGTATCAGCACAGTCTTCTTTTCCAAAATTTACAATGAAGTTATAAAGGTTTGGACCTTATATGAAATTGTGTATCGCTGTACACGGTATTAAAATATGATATCTGCTTCTTGGTGTACTGAACCCTACATGGATCCTTATAGATATTTTCTCCAAGTATTTCCTATAGTTAAGAAATGAATTAGACTTAATCAAATCTAAAATACAGTAACTTGGTAATGTGCGTGGGATCAGCTGCCCACCAACTTTCTTGTTTGGTGAAATGGAAGTATTAAATTGTATTGATTTATCATTGTTTCTGTTCAGCACCATCTGGAAGACTGGAACTATCTTGTCTCCTACACAGTTTTATAATGCTGAATTAAAGGGTCAATTCAATGCAGCATTTTTTCTTTTATGTTCTTTTCTCCGTTGGCGATTATGCAGGGTGGACGAACAATATGATTTCATTCTTACGAAAACTATGCAAGAAA